TAAAATGAAAAGAAGGGTGAGAAGTAAAGGGAAATTGAACCTATAATTTATAGGAACCCCATATCCTTAGCAAGCTGCGGATTTTATCCAAGGAATGGAGTGATTCGCGGAGAGATTCATGCCTTCGAATGGATCCTGCATTAAAAGACGCATCTCCAAGAATATTTGGAAAGAAAGGAAAGTAGCAAATATTTCCATAAATAAAAAGGGCCGAAGCCCATTACGAGTTTTTTAAAAAAAAAAAAGAAAGAAAGAAGAAAGTGAAGAAATTAAAGAACATTTATGGGAGAGGCTCAGGAACAGGCTCCTTCATTGCCGGTTTAGTCTTCGAAGTGGACGCCTTGTTTTTGGCATCCACTTCGGAACGATCCCGAATGCGTTTCCGGCAGTTGCTGGCCTCCTCCTCCAGGTCCTCTTCCTCTTCACTGTCGGATGGAACGGCGAAGACTGGGGCGTTCACGGGACCCGGGACTCCTCTAGCACGGAGATACATCCGAAGCATCTTCGGGATCTCAGCAACGGAATCGAAGTTCCGCCACTCCCATTGAAAGGGATCACTCTCCAAAGCCCGTATCTTCCTTTCCACCCGAACGATGCGAGCCTCGAGCGTCTGCCTTTTGAGTCCCAGCCGCTGCCTCTCTTCACACAAGCGACGGTGCTTGTCGGCGACCTAGCATAAAAACGAGTGAATAAGACGAAACAAGAAGTTTTAAATCAAAAACTTTAATATTTACCTTGTCGATAAAATCGCAAGCCTCTTTCTTCTCCTTCGGAGGAAAGTGAAAGACGGCGTGAGGGAAGAGAACGCCGGCCGGTTCAAAGCCGTCGCCGGATAAGAAGAGCGGACTGCCGGGATCAACGGGGGCTACTGTTTCGTTTTCCATTCTTAAAATATTTCTCAAGCAAGATTCTAGAGACATGTTTAATAAAGCCTAGAGGTAGGTAAGCCTTTATTTATAATGATTTAGGGTTTGTCTTGGAACCATAAATCCATTAATGGTAGCGTTTCCGAGTGGGTTAAACCATTTTTGGAAAATCGAGAAAAGGCAATTATTGCATTAAAAGACGAGCCGTTTTCTTTAAAAAGGGAAAGAGCAACCGTCGCAGTAACTGCAAAAGTTTCTAAGGCCCAAGCCCAACAAGTTTACCGAGTTGACTAAACCCGAAGTGGGGAACTCGCTTTAAGCCGAGCTCAGCTCTCGCATTCTAAAGAGAAAGGTCTGATCAGCCTAAAAATCTCGAAAGCATTGCCACAAGGCCACAAAAGGTTAAAAGCGGACTTTGCAAACCCGCATATAATTTTAACCAAACCCCCTTGGGTCACAACCTAGAAAGGTTTAAAAGCCTCCTCAGGCAAATATCTTGTTCAAAAGAAACAATAAAGCCTCCTTAGGCCAAAAATAAATTAAGTCTTAAAGATAAAGGGACAATCCCCAATTTAAAGTGGACACAGCCACTACGGAGTAATCTCCACCCTGGACTCCGGCTCAGCAACCAAAGTTTCATTCACCTCCTTAACTGGTGCTTGATCAGATGAAGCTCCCTGGCCACCCTCCGCGGTACAACCAACCTCCGGAGTGACCTCTGGTACCATTGGAGCTGCGGGCGGGACAACGTCTTCCGTCTCACTTGAACCTAGAAATAATGATTCCAGTCAATCAAAGGTACAAGGTAAGAAAAAGGTAAGCCACAGGAGCCAAGTGTTACCTGCCCAGTCTAAACCCGATTCACTGATAGGAGGTGATTCAGTAAAGAATGCCTCGAAGTCAAGCGGGTTGAAGACCGAAGTGGGAAGAGCTGCTAAGCGACTCCGTTTTTCAGAAAGGTTAGTCGACAGCTCGGTCCTTTCTTGCTCCTCGGAGAAATCTGCTTCATGGATTTGGTCCAGCAGAATCAAGTTGCTTTCGTGCTCCTTGATGTCTGACTCCAAGTCCGACCTAGCTTTCTCGGTTTGCATGAAGCGAATGGCCCCTTGGATCAATTCCATCCCGCGTCCCTTAACTTCCTTTCTGGCCTTCGATGCCGACCTTGCCAACTCAGAATCACGCAACTTGGCTAGCGCCTTGTACTTCGCGTCAAGCTCGATAAGTTGGTTGTTCAGGGTGTCGGCGGTTGATTCGGATTCGTGAAGTCTACCCTGAACACCAGACAGTTCGTCCTGGAGTTTGTAATTCCGGTCATAGTAGTCTTGCAGTTCCCCCTTTACCTGCGCCAACTCCGACGTCAACCTATCGACCTTATCCTCCAGATCGTGCTTAGAGCCAGCAGAAGAGTTGAGGTCAGCCTCAAGCGCTGAGAATTTCTTCTTCCACATGTCAATCTCCTTCTCCCGTCCAATGACCAACCCTTCGTAATGTTCGATCATGTCGTTAAATTCGCTCTGAGCCTGGCATTATTCATGAACCCGGGATGGCGAGTCAATTCGCAGAATGGCAATGCAATAAAAAAAAAAGGAGGGAAAAACGGAACTAACCCGAGATGAGTGATGCGCGTGAAGTAAATAGCGTTCACGAATCGCAGGGCGCCATTTGTCGAAGTCTGGCAAGATCGAACCCGATCGGGTCTTGAAGCATCGGAAGACGCTGCCCTCTTTCTCCATAGCTGCGAAGAAGGAAGAGTTGTAAAAATCGGAATCTTAATGGAAATAAAAAAAAAAACGTTGAAGACTGTATGAATCACCAAACCTGAAAGCGATTTGACTTGAGGGACGAGAGCAGGTTTTAACCTCGAGGAAGCATCTCGAGATTCAGAATCTCCCTTTTTCGGAGACACGCTCCGGGCAATCTTTCCACTATCAGACTGGGAAGAGGAAGACATATCAACCGGTCGTGGAGGACCCATTGGTTCAGAAGGAGGGGATGATCGAGGTGAACGGTCAGTCCGGGCCCTTGACTTTTCCCTCTGCGGAGAAGAATCACTGCGAGAGGACTTGTCTCTCTTCCGGCGAACCAAGTTCTTAATTGGTTCGTTACTAAAATCATCCCGGGGAGGACGAGGTGAATCACGGCGAGGAGATTGACCCCTCCGAGGAGAACGTGAGTCGCGACGATCGCGACGAGGAGTTAATCTGAAGGAAGCTACAGATCGGGCTCCCTCGGTGCTGCCATCATCAACCAGCAAGGTCCTACTGTAGTCCTTCCTGTCAATAGAAGTCGCGAGAAACTTTTTCTTCTCCTCGCAAGCCTCAGCCATCGGCTTGGAAAGCAACTTACGCTTGGCCGCAAGGGCCCGAGATGACATCCCCTAAGTTGAGGGAGGGGGCGGAATTTGGTGAAGATGACCAGGTGGACTCATCCTGAGTTTATGATTAGCTTCTTGGAATCGTTCAAAAGTGAAAGAATTCCAAAAGGTTTCCCCTTCAAGAATTATTTTGAAGAATTCGATGAACTCTTCAGATGGGAGAGTGGAAGCGATGAAAGCTGCGAAATGAAACAACGGTGTTAGTCAATAAAGATAAAGAAACAACCGGGAAAGATACGGGCGACCTAATCACTACCGGGTTTCGCAGACCACTTCGACGGGAGAAAATCTGCAAGATTTCCAATCGAAGCGGGAGTTTTCTTAATTAGAAACCAAGGATGATGCCAATTTTCATCCTTGTTCGGAAGATGTGAAACGATGTTCCTGTTGGCATTAGGATATGCTGAGAAATACCCCGTTTTCTTCGATGAACTTCTCACGCTTAGAAGCTCATTTAGTTCAGAAACTCCGACAACGTAACCGGCCTCCGCCGCGATTGTCGTAATTCCAAGAATAGTACGGAGTAGATTGGGGGTTAGTTGAGGAAGAGCGATTTCAAGAGCCGCTAGGTATAGAACTAGGGCTTCGGGAAGAGGAAAGGTCAGCCCGCAACCCTTGAAATAAATCTCGTATACACAGAAGTAACCATCGCGATGGTTCTCTGGAGATTCTGTGGGGGAAGCTATTTGTGCTTCCGCCATAATTTCCGGCGGAATCCAGCAAAGCTCTCTCAACCGCTCAAGGGATTGAAGAGTACAAGTGGACCTGTAGTGCGGACCGGCAATATCATCAGAGCGGGTGCACTCGTCGTTGCTAGAACGCCTCTCGTCGAAAGACGGAGACTCGGGTCTATCGGAATCGGAAGTCATTGGGAAGAAGGAAAAATTCAAGATCCGGCGAAGAGGGTTTTTGGTGAAGGAACGAAGAGAGAGTTTTCGATTAAAATACAAAAGTAAAAGAAGAGAGTAATGGTGAAAAGAATTTACCTCAAGCTAATGATGAAACCGCCTCGGAAGTCGTGTGGGAAGTGGGAAGGTTTTTCCCGTTTTAATAGTAATTAATCAATATACGGTCATAATGATGACAGATATCACTCGGTTAAAAATGGCTAGTGCCGAAATTAAAGGAGTGATGAGATTTTCGGCGGGAAATCAGAAAGATTCTCGAGCGCAATCTTTGGCCACTTGAGCATTTAAAGTCCTCCGAATTGGAATAGCACTTCGAAGAACTTGGGGGGCTAATTGTTGGTGTCGGATCCCGCACTAGAAGTACGAGACCAACCAAAGATTGCCACGTAATCAAGATAATGGCCCATAAAGGATAAAAGCCCATTGGACCCGTGAGCCGAAGGGACGGTCGAAGTGGTTGTCACCATTTCGATAATCCGAAGTGATTGCACTGTGACACGAGTTCGGTGTAGAAGACACGGGTAAGTCGGTTCAAAGGCACTTGGGCCAAAGGAGGCGAGGCCCATGAAGATCAGAGTCAACTCAAATTCAAACGTTGAGCATTAAAGTCGAAGAATCAAAACGGACACATTTAAGAAGGAATAATTGTACTTAATTGCTCATTTTAATGTCGTTTATCTCTGTATAAATATAGAGGCCAATGGCCATGTAAAGGGGGCTTCCTCTCAAGAGAGAAATACTATAGCAATTTTCGTATCAATTTATAAGTTTTTTACATATTCATTTTTGTCCCTCAAGAATAACCTTTCCCACTTAACAAAATACTTGAGTGTGTGAATCCGACATCCACAGCTGAGGCATATAAGAAGACAGTTGAAGAGAGATTGGCTGAACTGGAAGAGGATGTTCATGATGCTTCAGAGATTTCCTCTGAACATTCAATGCATCCTAGAGAACTCAGCATTGATGAAATGAATGATATCTTCCTTAAGGTAAGTAATTTTTGTCTTTAGTTTGCTTGGATTATATGATTGTATTTGTTTGATTGGAGTATGATAGTCTTGTCTGCTGAGCATTATTACTTTAATATCAATGATGATTCTTATTTTTCTTTGTCTGATTTGCTTTGTGGATTGTCTTTGTCAGACTTCTTTGCTACAATCTGGATTTCATTTTTTTTTTTTTTCATTTTGTCTATGATCCTTGTCTGATTTCACTGAATGTTTTTTTTTTTTTGCAGTGTACTCATATAGATGACCAAGGCAACCCTTATGGCCTTGGATCACTGGTGGAGACTCTACACAAGGGAAAAAGGAAGGAGAGTTACGCAAGCTCTTCTTCTACAGTGACAATTGTTGAGCTTCAAGAGCAGCTGCGGCGCAAGATCTCTAATCAGGATGCTGAGAATGCAAGACGTGATGAGGAGCACCGGAAGTCTCAAGCTCGGATCGCAAGCTTGGAGAAGCTCATCCTTTTCATAAAAGACAAAGATCCAGACTTGGCAGCTTTTATGTCAACCTCTCCACTCCTTGAACCAGAAGTGATCATACCACCCACCACTACAACAACCACCCTTCCAGCCACCACAGGAGCTGCAGTCCAACCAGCAGGACACACCACTGGAACCACACCAACCTCTCCTCTATCCACCGCCTCAAATCAGGAAACTTGATTTTCGTTTCCTTTTCTCTGTATATGTGAACTTATTTATGTTATGCTTTGATTAGGATTGTTTTTGAATGGTTTGGAATTGTTTTTGAATGGTTAGGATTAATATTCGGATGGTTTTTGAATGCATTTGCTTTTGAAATGGACAGGGTTCGGACAAATAAGATGTAACTATTTTGTGACCAAAAAGTTTCAGAATTTCGGACTAATTTGTGACTAGAACAATTAACAAATGTGACCAAACTGTGACTAAACAAATTTACAAATAACTCCAAATCTCGTATCAAAATGGTTACTAATTTAGGACTATTTTGTCACCATAATTAATAAGTCCTAAAGTAGTCGCACCATATGCAACTCTTTTGCGACTACACTGTTACTAAAACATACACAGCTTGCGACTAAAGTGCGACTAAGTATTTGACCAAAGAACTGTAAACGGTCGCAAACAAGGCGCAAATTGATCCAAATATGTAAGATTATTACAGTCGCAAATGAGTCGCTAACTTCCGTTCGTTGCTCTTTGGTCACACATTTGCAACGATATTCACCAGTCACAGCTTAGTTGGTAATTTGCGACTCTAAATTTATAGTCGCCAAATAGTCGCAAATTAGCGACTATAGTGATACACAGAAATTTTGCAACCGTTTTTTTGCGACCAATGGAAATAGTCGTTATTCAGTTGCAAAACCCTCTTTTGCGACCGTTTAGCGACTAATTTCACAGTCGCAAATGAAGTGTTTTCTTGTAGTGATGGTAGAATCCTTAATCCTTTGCCCTTGCATTTAAGATGCCAGTTTGAATTCAATCCTAACAACATTTGTGATTTTTTAGACGCGGTTGTGTTTATAAATGGACTAAAAAGATCTGATATGTGCATTAATTAGGAGAAATAAATAAAAAGTAAATTTTACTCTAACATTTAAATAAGAAGAAATTCCATTTTAAATAAGTGGAAATTTAGTCTTTGATAACAAAAATCAAACTCCTTTAGTGCGTCCAGATAAATTTGGTAAAGTTATTTTCTACTATTTGGCTTATCAGTCACAGCTAAAGCTTTCTTGCTTTAGGCGTATAAAATTATTTTGAACCGGTTTTAAGAAAATATAAACTGGACTGTTAATAAAAGAAAACAAAATTGCTGATTAAAATAAATAAAATCATAATTGGAACATTTTATATGTAAAATTTTAGGTCTACTAAAGGTATTGTATATTCTGTGGTATATACTTTTACGTATAATCTTTAATTGATTCATTGGAGACCGATTGGTCAACTACACCTAAAAGTCTACTTCCTGATGTTAAAAATATTTAGTTTCACTAAACGTGTTTCTCCTAAAAGCCGCCACGAATTGGTCTACATGATATTTCACACGCAATTAGACATTAAATTATATTGTCTTAGGATTTATAGTTTATTAGCCAGTTTATTCAACTTTTTTTTTTTCAACTTTATCAATCATTATAAAACTTGACTTGAAAAGTTGTGATATATTAAATTTTCTGTTTCTGTATATGTAATATTTTCGTATTTCTAATTGAATGCATTCGCAATCTCAAACCAACACTAGAACAATCAATGAGCTCAGTAGATTCCAATGTAAAATATTCTAGCAAACAAAATTTCAGATGTTTCCTTTATATCCTTTTTTATATTTTCGACAAATTAAATATATTATATTATAAAACTATTTATAAAGTAAATAAATAATTTCAACACAACCGTTGACGCAAATATAGGTAATTGTATACAATTTCGATAAAAGAGTGGAATTGACCAAGTTTTCCAATCGGAAGTCTTAGACCATTTTCATTGGTCATCCCATAAGACTGTCTTTAAATATAAAAATAATAATAGAAAATAAATGAAGGTGTCTGTTTTTTTCCCTCAATCTCAAATGAAGGTGTCTTTAAATGTGTGAATAGGTAAGGTTAATGTCTCTAGGAAAACACTTTGTATTTCTAAAATGGGAGTGTCTTTAAATTTAATATTACACGCTAACAGATAAAATATGTTATATTCCTCGTTCATACACTCGTAGTTGGCTATCATCTAATAGATGAAACTCCAAAATTTATATCGCATGGGTTTGATTAAAAAAAGAAAATTACATGTTGTTGTAATGGATTTTAAATCATTGGATCTAAAACTCTATAACATATACATGTTTTTTATAGTCTATTAGCAAATACTAGAACACAAAGTTTTCTTTGTAGTAATCCTAAATTTTTTTTTGAGACTTATCAATCACAAAAAGTGACAAAGTTATATTCTGTTATGTAAAAATGTTCTTTGGCAGAAAGAATGTTTTAATTTTCTAAATAATATATATCATATTTATTTCAATCATATAGTAAAAATAAAAGAAACGATTTTCATTGTATCGTACCAGCATTCGACTTTCACTATTATTTTGCTATGTTTCACTGTTCTGGTATATAACAAGATGATACCTAAACTGTTCAACCGAAACTGTTATTGTTAGATTGATTGACCTGAAAGAGCGAAATAAGTCCAACTTATACGTGGGTCGACCAACGTAATTATTATTGCTTGCCTTTATTATTATTATCCATTGAGCGTTGATGGTCACGCAAATACGATCACACACGTAAACACTCACACACACACACACATATACAGTAGATACCAGTCTACTAATTCTCCTCTGTGACCATCTTGATCGGGAGCTGGTTGGATCCAGTAGCAGCGACCCTAGCTCTAGGACAAAACACGACCCTGTAGTTAGTGTTGGTGCAAGTGAAAGTGCTGGTCGGGTCGTCTTGTGGATAGCTGTACGCGTCAGGACATCTCTGTTTGAAGAATCTTGAGTACTCAGTGTCGCTACATGATCCCTGACCGTTCGTACAACAGTATTGGTTCGTCTGAAATACCGTACACGGGTTGTTGCATCCGCCTGGGGCTTTCAGTACGTTCGGACACTGTCCATTTATGTCTGCGGTACATAATATCCGATGGCAGTTCGAGCTAGTTGGGCTGGAAATAGCAGGCCAATAAATAAAAAAAAAAGAAATTATTGTCGCGTCTAAAAACGTAAAAATGTGTTTAGAAATAATGAACTATAATGGTTTACTTTTTTTTTTTTTTTTTGCCTCGCAGAAATAATGGTTTTAACTCTTATATATCATGTTAAATGTCAATATCGAGATTTTTACGTTTAGGGATCCGAATTTATGAAATAAAGAAAAAAAACTTAGTAGAACTTATGAAAAATTTATGGTGAAACTCTTACCTAAACTCCATAGGAATGTTAAAGCCATCGACAAGGGAGATGTCGTAGAAGTCTAAGTTGTTGAATTGGTTCAAAGCGTATTCAGCCAACGTGTTTGGTGGCTGTCCCCAACCAGTACATTGAAGTCCACCACTGCAGTCACCAGTTTGGCATCGGCCACGGCCTGAGGAGTCAAAGTTGCAGTTGGTCCGACCCCAAATCCGTGCCATTTTAGTGCCGGCCGCGACATCTAGCCTCCATGACTGGCCGGCATCTAGACGTCGGCCACCTCCGGGGCTTGCGGCAGCCCACACGGTGTAACTACATTGGTTCAGGATTTCGAATGTAGCGGCTGTCGCGGTGGAGATGAGAAAAAGTGCGGAGAATATGAACGTAAAGACTGGAAGGTTTGCCATTTTTTAGTTCTACTTCTTTTGTGTATGTGTGATCTTTTGTTAATATTTGTTAAGGATTTTATATAGACGTAAAGGGTTACGTATTAGTTTGATTATTTTGTTATTTAATTAGTATTTACATTTTTGAAGTTATCTAGATGATGAATGTTAATCTCATATGCTTTTATCATTTTGATAGGTTGGGGCGGCTTGACTATGTTTGATGACTTGCGCTAACTTGCGCAAAAGTCTTGTTTCTAGTTTGGGGTGTAGAATTAGGATATACTACAAGTGACTTTCTTGATTTATTATAGTTAAATACTATAAAACATATCAAAACTAATTTTAGACACGACCTTATTAAGTTGTAATAAGAGAAATACTGACAAAGACACGACTTTAAATTAATACTGACAAAGACACGACAAAGACACGACTTTTTTTTTTTTTTTTATTAGATTTAAAATCTCAGATCGTAAACATAAACTGTTTTCATTTTAATGAAATATTTACATTCTTAGCAAAAAAAAGTTCATATTTTTTTCCGTTGGTCGGAGTTGTAATTAGGAAAATTTGCATCAATAACCAACAAAAATTTAATAATTCACTAACTAACCAAAACAAAAAAAGTGGATAATATTCCGTATATTTTCTATAATATTTGCCATTATACCCTTGTTTCTTACCTTCTTTTCACTCTTCTTTTTAACTGTACTATTTATTTCTACCATCAACGTAACCACTATCACACCGTCACCACTCACCACCATAACCTTTTATCATGGTCGACTTCATCGAAGTCATAATTACCACCACATCTCGTTCCATTTATAAACACCACCACCACCATTTTCACCATGTCATCACCACCATCTCCACCACAACCACCACCACCACACCATCACCGCAACCACTATCACACCGTCACACCAGCACGCTCTTAGAGAGAAACCTTTAGTCATCGTCGACCTCCTCAAAGTGATAATGGCCACTACGTCTCGTTCCATTTATAATCACCACCACCACCACAACCATTAGTCCATTACCACCATGTCATCACCACCATAGTCTCCGCGACGCAACCATCACCACCATGCCATCACCAATACCAGTCTACCACCACCACACTATCACTATTACCGTAACCACCACCACCACACCGTCTCCAGAATCATCATAGCCACTACGCTTCGTTTCTATACTGTTTTCACTTTATTCTATACTACTTTATTTATGTCAAACTATTTACTATTTTAAAAAATACGTATCCGATTTAAAAAATCCAAACTATATCATATGTAAAAAAAGAAAATATGATTTTTAGCAGAATCACAAAATTGAATAAATTCTTACAACAATTATTAAAGCAAAAAAACTTGCCATGGGGTATAATTATTTTTTGCTCCATGTAGGATAGAGAAATCATTTTTGCCTCTCACCAAAACCCAAAATGGTAATTCTCAACGACTTTGTGCTATTGACTTAATTTCTAAGATTATGATGCTATATTCTTCATTTGCTTATGAAATATGGTTATACACCTAATTGACCCTTGTAATTATCTTAGAGATATCTGCCTCTTTTTGTTTGGACAAAGAAAAAGACATATTATTAATTTAAAATAGATTTATTTTTGCTTTCATTCATTAACTTGAATATGTGTGCTAGAGACTTATTATTATCTCTTTTTTGGAGTTTGATCAAAATTGACTGAAACTGATCGAACAAATCAAGATTGAATGGGATTATGAACTAAAGTGTCAGATTTGGTAAATGGTATCAAACTTAATTTTTGGAGTTTTCAATTGGATAAGGATAAGAGAAGCAAGACATTGATAGAACAAGTTTGACGATCTTCACTTTTTTTTTTTTTTTTTTTCATGTGACGATCTTCACTTAGGTTAACAGAGATTGCAACAAACGAGCTGATACTCTTACAAAACAGAGAAACTGATCTTTTCTTTTTTAACAAAAAAAAAACTGATCTTTCTTTATCATTTTTTTTATCCATGAGTAATTTCACAAGTCTTACACTCTGACTATGTTGCTTCCATTTAATTTAATAAAGCATAAATGTCCACACCTATATTAAGTATTTCATTCTTGCACGAAATAACGATCATGCGTGGTGCACACTATTTAAAGTAATTGTCTATTGGAGAAAAAAAAGGATGAAATTTCGATGTCAATTGTTTTTTTTCGTTAAATAGGATAAATTTTATTTGCGATCACCGTGCATTTCTTATTGGTCAATCTCGATTACCCTAAATCTGGTCGTTCAAATTTTTTTAGTTTTCAAGTTTCGACGACTGCCATGTATATTGATGTGGACATTTTACTTACTTTTTTTTTTTTATCAAAGACATATTTTATATCATCAACCATTAATATGTACATACTGATCTATACTAGACCTTAGCCAAACTGAACTATTCATGTTTCAAAAACGGTTAGAGAAGAGGACAAAACCCTCTTACCAAGCCAAAACCATCGAGTAGAGAACATCTTGAGTGTGTATAGATTTACTATTTAAGTTGTAAATACTTGGACCTTGGGACTTGAAGTTATATCACAAGATTGGTCCAGATGTCCAACAACCGAAAATATGGTCCAGCCCATAGCCAAATTACGAGTTGCTTCGTATCCTTAGCCAAATTACGTACCATGGCATTTTGAATATAAAAAGTGAAAGTTAATACTTAATAATTACGTATCATAATTTTCCCTAAAGCAGAAAGATTAGTTTGAACAAAACAAAATACTTATCCATCACTTTTTTGAATAATCATTATCATGTGTACAATGATATTTTGGAACTTTTTCATAAAAGTTCTTGAATGATGATATTCATACTCGATGAACATAACAATGGCATCTATTGGCAACCGGACATGATGCCTGGTGGTGTATATGGATTCTTGCCGGACAACATTAATGTGACCATTTGTTTTTTTGCCATGTAAACGAAATTTCTTTTGATAAATAGTTGTGATAAATAGTTGTTAGAGAGGTTAATGGAAATTATGGCCCAAAAAAAAGGAGATTAATGGAAACAAATTAAAATACCTAATTACTTTATTCATCTCTGTTTTCTTAACAATTAATATCGAGTTTACATTGGTGGTATTTCCAAAAACTTTTTCAAAGATGATACTCGTATAGAAGAAGTATCACGGACGCATCTATTGGCAATAGTACACCTATATAGATTCGCTGGTATGCGCTTATAACATGCGGCGGTAGGAAATCTTGGATTACAACCATTACCTAAATCTCTTTTAATTGGATAGTGAATATATTTTCTTCGCGCATCAATGCTACTTATAAACACGCATATTGTCACAAACGTAACATCTTTTGTTTTTATCATAATTTTAAGGTTTGGATGTAATTATATTTGGTGGAGAGATTGGAAAAGCCAATTCGTATATATAGGCAAGAGGATAAGTTTTAGTTTCACTAGCTTTAATACAAAAGTCAAAATTTGATTTTGGTTGAGTTCCAATTGAGATAGTTAAATTAAATATAAAAACCGAATTGGTGTTACAGTTTCCGTTTCAGTTTTTCTTTTCTTCAATATATACATTTGAAAATATTGAGGTTTTAACAATCATTTTTTGTTTGGTATAATTTCAATCAGTTTTTGTTTTGTTTAAAAACAATATCAGTCTCCTAATGCTAGTATTACTTCTCAAAATTTTGTTATGTTTAAAATTGTAAAATTATTTATAATATTATAAAGTGTTATTTTCTAATTATTTATAAACTTTAACATATAAAACTCTTACGGATCGGATTTGAATATCTCTGAATATCATGATATTTTGACGGAAATCCAAAGTCTGGATATTCGGAATCCACGAATTTAGATATGATTATCGTAATATTAAATAATAGTGATGTGTGTGTATCTTTACCTCAAAGTTTTACCTTAGAGACCAACGAAAAAACTGCAAGTGCACAATTATCCTATATAGTATTTTAGGTTCGATCCCACATATAACCGACAAATTCGCTACAGAAAAATAAAGCTAAGACAAAATAAAAAATAGTTTTTATTTGGGGTTTTATGGTGAACAAAAATGCAAATCAACGATGTAAATAGTCAATAAACGAAGTGTTGGAAAACATGGAATTCTTAGGGTATCATGGATGGAATCATTCTAGAAGATTAGACAAATCATTCTTTATTATATGCGTTCTCAATGCAAGTTAGAGAATGTTTGTGATTTTAAACATGTAACTAGATCATGACCCGTGCTATACATCACATGATAAATTTTATTTAGTACAAAATTTTATATATTATATATTTTAAAATAAAATTTTGATATATTATAGTAGTAAATGAAATTATTTTTTTTGTCAGTCCCTAAGATATGGAAATATAAAGTAATTTACTTTTTTAAAATTAATATTGTTTGAACAATGAGTTAATTAACGTAAACAACCACAAAATAAGATTGTATATAATTCGGTTAGATAAAAAACTAGAATATCATAAATGAACCGCATCTAAAATGTAGATTATTTTGAGTTAATTGATGAGTTATCTATTATTTTGAGTTAATTTAGGAAGTACCTTCATCAATTTGTAATTCTTTGGTTGTTGAAATGGAGAATTGTTCGAGTTAATTACTGAATTTAGCAATTATTCACATCATCAAAAATAAACATATTTTGGATATACAATAATACCAAATTCAACCCGTGGATTGAGTCCATATTTTTATTTTAGAATCCCAATGAAAAAATTGCTTGGACTATCCATCAATCGTTATTTTCAAAACTGTTTGTAGAATCAAGTTTTCAAATATTTAGAAATGTCAAATCTTAACCTGCATTTTTTATAAGAATCATAACTCTTTCGATCATATAATACAATATATTTAACTCGCTGTTTGCTATAAATATTTTAAATATTTGTTTAAGAAAATCAAATTAGAGTATTTATAATTTTTAACTTTTTGAGCTATTAAATATTTATGATATTCTTTAAAAATATAAAGTTAAACTATTTTTAAATATTCCAAATTCAAATATTTGATTTTCATTGTAGTATATAAAATTACATTGAATATAAATATTTAAACTTCGACCGATTACTCTATCCGAATTTTTGTTGAATTTGTTTTTGTTAAAAAAATATATTACTCAAGTCTGAATTTTTGATCCGTTACTAATTTTTTCATAGATTGAACAATTCATATTTGTTTTAAAATTTTAAATCATGGCATATGCGGAAAAATAAATTATTTTTTTTTATTATATGGTTGATTTGATGATTTATATGTTTTACAAATAAGAACCTATTGGAGTTTATTTTATAAATATGATTTTAAAACAACAAATAATAAAACATTTTGGCCTACAAAAGATAATAAACAATAATGGTATATATTGGCCCTAAGAGTAGCTTGTAGAATGTGAATTTAGAATGCGAGCTAATTAGTTTAAGCGTATCAAAACTTGTTATTGTTTGTGGTTTAAAAGTAACATACCTCTTGAGCCTTCACTATGAAGCAGGTGCCACTTAAACACAGTAACGGCGACATGATGATACTATAGTAAACAAAATTGTAAGATCTTTTATTTACAATTAGTGTCAGACGTCCGACTTAATATTGTATCGCCCCACTAATATGAGAAAAACTCTTAGCAATATTTATCACGTTAAGATTCCCATATATCTCTATGTCTGGATAGGTTGTTCACACACTATTGAGATTGAATCCTGGAGAATTTCAATTTTGCAGCCTCACTCCAAAAATATATTGTTATTTTGACTCTTAATCATTAGCCAAAATAACATGTGTCTATATTGTTTCTCATGATCACTAATTCACTATGTATAGTAGTATATTCAAGAATTTTATTTTTGTAGTGATATACAAAAATATGAATTGCAGGGTATAGTTTCAATTATCCCAAGTAGACTTTATCTTGCAAGAGAAATTTAGTCAACTAGAAAGAAACAATATTACGAATTATTAGTCATACAACCATATTTTAAGATTATAACGTGGAAGAAAAAATATATAAAATTCTAACAAACTTTCGCTGAAACTTCATGTAAATCTTTAACGTATATCTTTAAGAAAACGAAGACTTCACAATATATTAATCAATCTCTTCAATTATTTTTGGAACACTCAAAATTTTGATGAAAGAGCTTAAAGATCACGTTGTAGTGATGGCCTATGGACCATCGGAGGGTTCAGTAACGGCGTCGCCTGTCTCTCAACAGACGCCGTCTTTGTTTGCATACTCTATAACGCCTTCAACATCAAGATTCAGCTCACGGCGAGCATCGGTTCATGTCATCGGTTTGGTTCTCCGGTTTTTAACTTTGGTTCTATGTTTTGTCTCTGCTCTTTCGTTAGCAGTGAATGTTCATAGGCCTTCGAGGAGATATCTGACACAGAACTCCTCGAGTTTTGCTTCATATCCTGAACTATTGTAAGAAACTAAGAACCTTATCTTCTTTAATTCATTGTTTAATACTGATATTTTATATAGAAAATGATGTTTTGTTATTTCCAAGCAAATCTGGAATAGGATTATCGTTGTTCACTAACTAAAAAAATGAGGGATGCTGAAAAAGGGTCTTAAAAAATAGAATAAAAAGTTAGGCTGAATTCTGTTAAATTAAAGAAATAGACAGTTTCGTTTAGGTTTTAGATATAGATTAAGTAAAAAAAAAAAAAAAAAAAAAAAAAGATTAAGGTTTTGCGGGTTATGATTTAGGATTCAGGTTTAGAGTTTAGTTTTTCACATTGCGATTTAAGATTTAAAATTTCAAGTTAGACTTTAGATTTTTTTTTTTTTTTTGACATCTAATGAATTTTTATTCATTTTGTTAGTTTATATAAATGTAATCATTTTACTAAATTGGATATTGAATATAGGCTATTTCTAGTAACTTCCCCAGAACATAAGGGATAAAGGTGTATAGACTGTATAGTATACAGTATTAATTATCTTTAATATGCATGAAAATGAATATTTTGAAACTTTATATATATATATATATATATATATATATATATATTTTGAGCAAAATTTTGAAACTTTATATATGAACCGAAAAATATGGTGCAGGCGTGTTGGAAATAAAAATCCATTAACTTCGTTTAACAAAATGCATGAATTAACATACCAATTAGCATAAAGAATAAAATGTTGAAAAAAGTTTGGATGATTTTGTTTTAATTAAACTCAATCTAAATATAAAATTCTTAGTTAATTAAATATATGAAGAAAAAAATATATGCAGGTATTGTTTTGTTGTAGCAGTGATAGGATTCGTGTATACATGTTTGCAAACATTCAAAGGAGTTTGTGATATTACTCACAGAGGAATTTTAATCTCTGAGCCTCTTTCGGATTATATCAGCTTCATATTTGACCAGGTACATTTTACATTATTATTGATTAATTTTTATACGTCCATATATAGTCAATTGTTAACACTTAACATCAAAAACAGATTGAGCTAATTTTATTTGTGTATACGAAACCTAATCAGGCTATATGTTACCTACTAGTATCATCTTCTTCGGTGGCAATTGCGTGGATCCAACATATAAACGAGGATGCGATAAACACACTAAGAAATAATTCCATAATTTCAGTTTCAATGTCATTCTCTGCTTTCTTTGTTTTGACACTCTCTAGCCTCTTGTCAGGTTATAAGCTTTGCAAGAGATTTATGTGGTAATTAAATCTTGTAAAGGGTTTTTATATTCATGTCATGTTTAATCCGTAAAGTAATGTAAATTTATGTGGATTTATTTGTTTGTTGGAATGTAAATTTATTCAACAAAATTTATTTGTTTTACAGGAAACGTTTTTAGAATTTTGAAAGAATTAAAATAAGTTTTGAGAAAGATCAGCTAACCACGATGTCAATGTTGCACTGATCAAATGTGGATTTGTAAATGCATGACCATTGTACAAGACAAACTTAAATTAGTTAAATTAGTTTTCCTCGTATAGTGTCCAAAAGTGTCATTGGTAAAGGATTCTTCAAAATGTGACAGAAAAGATTTTTTTTTATATATATCAAAAGGAAATTGCAAGTGTTGCAATTGCAAAGTAGGCAGACTGCAGAGGAAGTATCACTAAAATAGTAATGGCCTAATGGGGGTCTATGACTGAAGTTTTTTTTTTTTACATGAATGAAGAGTTACTAAACCAAGTAAAATCATGCATATTTTGATCGTGTTCATAATTCATTTTTATTGTCTTCTTAAAAAGAGTATAAAAATGTTGAGGACATCATTATTCTTATATTTTCCTGAAAAAGCAATATATGGTCTTCAATAGTATTTTTTTAAGACAAGCCGCACAATTTTTAGAGTAAATTTATATAAATTATTTTTGATAAATTCAACTTTTTTTTTGTTAATTTAATAAATTTAACTTTCACATAAAAAATAATATATACAAAAGGATCAATCTAGCTGACTAGCTCGTAATAGTAGTCAGGATAATGACATAAGAGTAGCATTAACATTTAACACTAACCACAGACTATATATTTTGCTAAGATATTTGTTTACTTTTTATGTTGATTACAATTAGTATTAAGACTACAATAAAGGAATCTCAAAATTTGAATTCATATTAATGTAACATAAACATAAGAAAAGTAATTGGTTTACAAAAAAAAAAAAAAAAAAAAAGTAATTAAAAAAGAGTCAACTCAGAATAATGAATTCGAGTCTATCACTTTATTCCACTCACATTAACTACCAAAAATGTTATAGATCAATCTATTTACGTTTCACATATCCACAGGGTCAAAAAGGGAAATAACAAAAAGAAGAAAGAAGAGAAACTTCTGGAAAAAGGAAAGGAAGCCACATACGCTCTTCTCGCACATTCCTATACTCTTTCCTTCTTGTGGTCCCCTTTCACTTTTTTAAATTCCGATTTTACCCTTTTCTTCTTCTTCGATCTCTTTTTTTCTTTTTATTTTTTTGTTGTTGTCTTCTGGAACTTCCGATCTGTCTCTCCCCCATCTCTCTCTCCTCTCTCTTTCTTATCACTACGTTTCTCCCAGAACATTCTAGAACTTCATACCATAATCTCTCTCTCTCTCTAGCTTCGTGATCATCGTGTGTGTGTGTTTCAATCACGGGTTCTGTCTGGATTGTGACAATCTCTTTCTTGGTTGGTGTAGAAAAAAAGATTACGTCAAACTTTTGGATTTGGTTCTAATGGGTTTGTGAAAGACGTCTCCTTTCTCTTCTCTGTATTGAGATCTCATGATTCCAAGTTTCTTCAAAGCTCATTTCCATTGGTAGATTTCTTCATTTTCCTAATCTTAATCTTAATTTGGGTATTGGGATTAAGAAAAGCTTAGATTTTTGAGGTGTGTCAGTGTCTGTGGATCTAAAACTCATGCCGGGGGAACAAACCGGAGAAACTCCGACGGTGGCCGGAGTAGGAGGCGGTGGAGCTGGTTGTAGCGCCGGGAATAGTGGTGGAAGTAGTGGATGTGGTGCTGGCGGCGGTGGTGGTGGTAGTGGTGGAGGTGGCGGAGGAGGAGGAGATTCGCAGAGGTCAATTCCGACGCCGTTTTTGACGAAAACGTATCAGCTTGTGGAAGATCCGGTTTACGACGAATTGATATCGTGGAACGAAGATGGAACAACTTTTATTGTGTGGCGACCAGCTGAATTCGCAAGAGATCTTCTTCCCAAATACTTCAAACACAACAATTTCTCTAGTTTTGTTCGTCAGCTCAATACTTACGTGAGTCTCAATTTACGTTTGAATCGATATTTTTTGGTTATTGATTTTTAGTAGTGGCTCTTATTTTGGTTTATTATTGGTTTTAGGGATTTCGAAAAGTAGTTCCAGATCGTTGGGAGTTTTCTAATGACTGTTTTAAGAGAGGTGAGAAGATTCTGCTTCGGGATATTCAACGGCGGAAAATCTCTCAGCCTGCTCTGGCCGCGGCCGCTGCAGCAGCGGCGGCAGCAGTAGTGGCTTCGGCTGTTACGGTGGCAGCGGTTCCTGTTGTAGCTCACGCTGTTTCTCCGTCGAACTCTGGAGAAGAACAGGTTATATCATCTAATTCTTCGCCTGCGGCTGCAGCCGCTGCTATAGGAGGAGTGGTTGGTGGTTCTTTGCAGAGGACAACGAGCTGCATCACTGCACCAGAGCTGGTTGAGGAGAATGAGCGATTGAGGAAAGATAATGAGCGATTGAGGAGAGAGTTGACAAAGTATAAAGGATTATATGCGAATATCTACACATTAATGGCGAATTTCACACCGGGTCGAGAAGATTGTGCGCATTTGTTAGCAGAAGGGAAACCTTTAGATCTTTTACCGGAGAGACAAGGGATGAGTGAAGCCATGGCAATGGCTTCTAGAATAGAGACAGGGATTGGTTTGAAACTTGATGAGGATTTGACTCCGAGGTTGTTTGGGGTTTCTATTGGGGTTAAGCGAGCAAGGAGAGAAGAAGAATTGGGTGCTGCAGGGGAAGAGGATGATGATAGACGAGAAGCGGTTGCCCAAGAGGGAGAACAAAGTTCTGATGTTAAGGCAGAGCCCATGGAGGAGAATAACCCCGCTAACCATAATGGGTCGTGGCTTGAACTCGGAAAATGAAAACACTTACCAGTTCAGAGGATTTGTTGTATATGCAAGAAACTGATACTGATCCCCATTGAGTAGGCAAGCCATTGTACTGTCCCAGACGGAAAATGGGGATATGTTGGTCATAAGAACAATGGCTCTGAGAACAAAGGTTCATTGAGTTAGGGTACAAAGGTATCTAAAAACACAGGTTCTACCATCCTGAGTTGTTCCTGATTTCAGATGTTGCCTCCTGAATCTTCTTCTTGATGGAACTGAAACTATTCTGGCTTGTTGTGCTCCAGTGGGTGGATGTGCTTCTCACGATTTCGGATAAAGCAGGCAGATTCGAGGTTACATCTTCATACTCTGCAACAAAGAGCACGAATCAATGGTTTTAAATCATTATGTTCTTTTTAGTCCAAAACAATTGTAGCTCGCTGACTTGTAATGATCTTAATGAAATTTATATTTCTATTTTTTATTTAAAGATAGTCCAAGTCCTCTAGTGGTCGTATGTATGTGTTTTTTACCTGATGACATAGGAAGCTCGTACTGGCGCTTTAAGAACTTGGAGGCGTTACGGTCTTTCTTGTGGCAAAGAACTCTAACAAGAGTTTGTGCATCCTCCAAGCGCCGCTGCTCTGAACTCACTCCCATGTTGATAAGCTCGCTCGCAGTCATTAGCATCTGAATAAGCATATCGCTCTGTGACATAACCCATAAAACGTTAATATCTCAGATTTTCTAAGAAACGAACTAAGTTTGCAACTAGCAAGTGAACAATATATATTTACCTCGAGAGAGAACAAGTCGAGGATCTCTTTCGCCTGTTTTGCTTCTTGCTCAACTAGTGAACGAGGAAGACCCTCTCCGTCGGCAATGAAGAATTCCTAAGAAGGGACGCACGCCAGAGGTTAAGTGCATATATTGGAACTGCCTTATCCATGGATCAAGGACCAGGTTCTCATTAGCAAAGTGGCCGAACCTCAAAATCAAAGTAGTATAATCATGTTTCTAGTTTTTTTAATGTTGTCTTTATCTGAAACTAATTGATTATCTAATTCCAGCATAATAGTATTGAATTCCAAAATAAAAATATAAGTTACTTACTTTCAAAATACCGAGATCCTCTTCCATCAAGGTGATGTCTGAATCCGAAAATGCACGGGTTGGCCCTCCATCAAGTAGCACTCGAACATAAGCTTCCTATGTGAGAGAAGCATATAATTTTGGTGGGTATAAAAAAGGTTGGAGTTAGTTAACTTGTTTACATATGCAAAAGGGAAAAGAGGTGTTACCAGAGCGGATCGGCAGATCCTTAAAACCACCATATCCCGTGAGTCCTCATAACTCAAACTGCATACAGTATCAAGGACCTGTGCATTGCATTTCTTAGTGTAAGTTAATGCTTAGTAGAAAGGGGTCAATCGGCGAAAGAGATGATTTTGGTTTACAGAATCAATGTGAGGGAGTATTCTTTCCAGGCGGGCGCCTTCGACTGTGCCATTGTACAACTGTATTAGGAACATGTCTCTCAGATCCCAGAAAATCGCTCTTGCCCCTGACAAAAAGCAACAATAAATAAAGAAAACAGAGCTAAACCGACTTCTTTGTCCTTGATAACACAAAAGTCTTTAGAGTAACACAATCCATCCAATATTCTCACTCATCCATGAGGATCAACAAATTAAAGAGAAATGCGTACTTTTGCCAAAAGAATTGAAACATGAATAATATGTATGGCTTCTTCACAAGTATCTCAGAAAACGACAGAAAATTTGCTAATGCATCTTATGTACGTCTTCAAATAGTATTAAAATGCTAATCCATCTTGTTTGTGGATAAGAAGATTATGCAATCAGAAAATTTGAATCTCGACACTTATTAAGGTTGCAGAGAACTGGTTCAAGTTTCGACAGATTTTCCAGTTATCTCAAATTTAAAGTGCTGCAGATGAACACGAGACTTTGTATTAGCTTACCAATTAGGTCACGGGTTTTGGTTATGCAATTGGCATTGGTGTCCCTGAGGCTGTCATAGGTGGTAGCAAAGAGCTCATCAACAGCTTCACTATGCGTCAAAGAATTCTCCACTTCAGATTCATCAGTCTCGATTTCTGAAAGTAAAATCATGCAAATGAATCCGCCAATGCACATTTCAACACTAGACAACCACCAAAAATGAAGAGAAAACGTATAATCTCAAGTGAATGAGCGTACCTGATCTCTTGTTGAGAGAGGCTTCAACAAGTGTCAAAGATTTCCTTATGCCTACTTCTGTTGCACTGATTTGTTTCTGGATATACTGATCCATGGACACAAAAATAGATTAAAAAAAGAAGAAGCTATTGTTTAGTTTTAATAGGAATACATGAAGGTTTAGCTTGGAAGAACACACTTACACAGAGTGTATTCAATATTATGCAGAGTTTCGGTATTGTCAGTTCATCCAATTTCTTCACTATTTTATTATCTGGCTCACTAAACTCGAGCGACTTCCTCTTCATTACTGGCATTACATTTTCTGTGAATCGAGTTAAAGGAGGAGCTGACGGATACAGAAACTTCTTGTCAACTGCGGATAGAGGCGTATTGTTAATATATTACAGTATGCTTCTGAAAAGTCGCTTAATTTAAATGAGTATTCAAAAATGTTTTCATTTTACCTTTGGATTTGGACAAGCGATTCTATATATACTAATAGACTATAATGTAAATCTCACGAAAGTCCCATACAAAGAAACACAACAATAAAACATGCATGTTGCATGCAATCTACCAGACACATATAAGCCTGCTCAAGCATGTGTCTCTGGATATTGACACAAGAGAAAATAATTTTATATAGCACATTCCATGGTTATGCAAGAACACGACTCTGTAGCAACTGTTAAAAAGATAAAGAGTTGGTCAATACCTAGTTGATCGAAAACTCTCTGAAGATAAGTATCCAAGCTATGGTAAATTAATGAGAGAAGAGCTTGGAGATGTGTGATATCAACAGGTAGATGCAAACCAAATAACTGAGACACAGTCTGCAGAGCAAGTTCAATGAGAAAGTAAGATGGCATAAATTGTGTGCAATACTAAAAAGCAAAGGTGGAAGTATTACTAGAAGTAAAGTAAGAACTTACAAAAAAAACTAACATGAAAATTCAGAGGCAACCGAAACTGAAGACAAAAGTTTTTGCATACTGAACTCGTTTATTATTTCTAAGCCTGCTATTAAGCTCCTACAGTTTGCACACTATTTGGCATAATGGTGTCATGAAAGTATATACCTCTTCTATGATCCTGAATATTTCAACGATTGATGCAGCATGTCTTTGCTGAACTGATAGAGGCTCCCACTCCTGCTCATAAAAAGGCAATATAATTAAATTCTTGTTCGATCCTTTGGACAATAAAGTTTCATGCATCATAGTTTGGATTTGTTTAATCGTGAAAAGTGATGGAAGGTCAAACTATATAGGATGCAACCTTTTGTGTGCTTCAAAGATTTGTCAATACAGATCACATGAGTTTTAAAGTAATCCATCAAAATAAGTTCCCCTTATGGCCGAACTTTAATGTCTATCTACTTTCAACAGCAATCAACATGTGAATATTTGGCCAAGAATATATATATAACCTCAATTTCAAAAGCTCGCCTAGTCCATTGTAAGATATGATCATGTTGAGAGATAAGCCAGTCCAGCATTACTGGTTTGACAACCTTTTCTATCTGCATACAAACAAATGGATAGTCTCTTATATGACTTAGTTGACATGTTAAATTGAGTTAGGAAACCATAAAACTGAGAAGTGATATAATTTTTTCTGAAATCCAATCCATATAAGAACTATCTATTCAATGACCTCGTAATTCTTCAACTTGTGAAGGTAAGGTTTGCGCAACTTGGATTTGCTATGGCAATTATACAGTTGAGTTAACTCTTCCTGTAAAATATAAGCAGCAGGGACTACTTTTCTAACATCACCAGAGAGGGATGAAACTCCTTCAAGGAAAGGCGTCTGCTCCAGTAGAACAAGATCAATTGTAAATATAGATACCAGTGACAAAAAATTTCTTTTAAGTATTGAAAATGCTTAGGGACAAACCAGTCTTTCTCCATAAAACCGATGTAGCAGCATGGCCGAGATCATCATACATTCGGGTAACCATTTGGAGAATACTGGGACAAACTCATTGATTTCTGCTTTTGCGATGACGCTCAGTTCATTTGCAAGCAGAGCTAGAGCATGCGTACGCTCACCATGAGATTTCACGTAAGCAAAATGTGCAGCCTAGGAGGATAAAATATCGAATTTAAGTATCTTTACATCATATGATAGAGCGATAAAAGAAATAGCTTATATAGTATAGCAATACAAGTAACCAAGACAAACTCACCCTGGCACATGCACCTTTGATAGAGTTCTGAACATAGGATTGTATCTTATCACTAACATCATCACCCAAGGTATCCAGCTTGATAAGCTGCAAGAGAAAAACGATATCTATCATCGAAGATCACCCAGTATTCCTCCATATCGAAAGCTCACACTAGATAATTATATGCAGTTCCTTTCTTTATATCCAACTAGGAACTTTTCTAATAACAGCCAAACACTATATAAATAAAACATAGTCATGCCAGAAAATATCTTGTACTGCGGAAAAGCACATTAAAGTTATGCAAATGATCAAAATGAAAAAGCTTGTTAGGGGCCTCATGAGGAGAATTGTGGGATGAAGCGTTTTCCCAAGAATGTTAAATTTAACTGATATTCATAAGTCAACAAATATAAAATATTAAGATATAAATAGGAGAAGGCAAAAGAAAAGTTTGTTGCTAAATGGAAAATAACGATTTAGCGAAGATCAGAAACACCAACCTCAGTTCTGGTACTGTCAGCTGGAGGAAGTCCAATTGTTGATGCCAATTTGACAAGCATTCCAAAATCACGAGGTTTCTGAGGAGACATAGAAGATAAAAAAATTATTTAAAGAAACGATGCTTATTATGTCCTGATGGAGTTGCAAAAACAGATTCGAGAAATTTACAACAGAGATCCCATGATCTTGGTTACTAGGAAAAAAAAGGAACAATTTACGGCACAAGGATATGCTACCAAGAAAACCATATAAGAATTTTGGCCAGGAATTTTGAAAAGAATATGCAGAGTAATTATAAGGTCATTATCATAGATCTCGGAACTGACCTTACCAAAGTGTAGATGGTAGTCCTGAAGTTTATCATCACACCAAGCACTAACTGAAGTGAAAATAGCCTTCACGAGACCTAAGTGTATGTCAGTTCCAATGGTTTGCCTTGAACATACTAGATGACTTAAATAAAGATCTTCCTTCGAGTTGCCACTTTCAGCGGAAGTAACTTTCTGCAACTCCTGAATTGCGCTCCCTAGAAGAGATGGTTCACCTGTGCACACAAACTTCCCAGGAAAGGAGCACATGTGATGGCTACCTTAAACTCTTGTCTGGGAC